ATAATAATTCCTGGTTTTTCTGTGTTAAGGTAAAGTAAAATAGTTTGATCAAATAATTCAAATTCGATAAATATTAAAAATCATTGTAAAAAAAAAAAAACTAAAACAAAATATAGAACTAAAACATTTTTAACCATTTTAATCATTTTATGCATTKTTAAAATATTTGTTACTTGTATAGTTGTATTTCATACAGATGTAAAGATACAAGGCTGTCGTAACTTTTTTATGATATAAAAAATAAGTTGTGTACGAATCTAAATCAATCAGTGTTTGTCAATAACTCAAAAAATTAAGTAAATAAAAGAACTTTTTTAATTTAGTAGACGGCAGATGGTAGTACATCAGATTATTCAGATTTAACCAGATTATCTGAAGTAAAAATATTGTATTTCACATTTATTTATTATGTGTTATAAACAAATTTAATAATTAATATTTTGTGAAAAAAAACCTGTATATACTGACATGTTACAAGTGTAAATTGTAACTACTTATTAATTGACCAACTTATCATAAATTAAAAATGTATACCTAAGCTAATAAAATAAAAACATTCACAACAATTAAATAKTCATGAATAATAAAATAGAATATAAATAAAATAATCAAAAAATTATTAACTCATAAAAAAAAAATATATATATATTTTATTTAAAATACTTCCAACAATTATACATTTATACGGCGTTCTTTTAAAGTTGCCCAATTTTGTATCATTGCACTCATGTTTATATTGTCGAGTATATCTTTAGAAGTATTCAGTACAATTAAGTTGTTCAAACGCTTATCAGTCATGGTTGTTCTTAAATGATTTTTTATTAACTTAAGAACACTAAATACCCTTTCGTTAGATGCAGCAGAAAACTGGTGATGTGAATGCAAGTCTACATAAATGTTGGTATCACGAACTAAGATATACAGGACTGGTAACGACTCTAGATATTACGGTCGGGTACTCTTTCTGAAGTGTACCTTGGTGTTTGTGGCGCACTCTGTCGGTTTACTAAATCATCTGAATTTTAATACACACTACCGTTGCATTACATACGTACAATTTAATATTGCATGGTTATAAATATCTAAAATATATATTTGTGATGAAGATTGAAATTTGAAGGTAGGTAATATTATTATATAAATATTAAATTGACAATGGTTATTAATTTTTTTCAAAGAGCCTAAGTTTTCAGAGCCATAATATGTCCTTTTAATGTCTTCAGTTTTAAAATGTTTGGCACATACAAATTTGACATTAGTTTCTCTGTTGTTAACCGCACAAACTACATTAATCCACTSAGATTTTAAGTAGTCATCTTTTGGTACTGAAAATAATGTTACACGTTCAGTTGTCACTTTGGAWTTGCKARTTGAACAATTTATAACGCTACATAATCGACCCATTGTAAATAAATATATTATAATTTTAAAATATTTTACTAAATAATATACTATAAGCTTAGATACATTAACTAAGATGTAGTAAGCACGAACTAAGATATCGTAGTTCGTGGTAGTAAGATGACTAGTAAAATGTACTCTAATATCTATGTCATAATTGTATTTTATTTTAGTTCTTGCTTAAAATAAATGTAGAACTTTGTAGTTACTACTGATGTTAATAGATGKCGSTTTATTCACCAATGCACCGACGAGCAAGATTTTCTGACCGTATCACCCACCCCYTCCGCCCTATAGTGTTCAGTCCTGTATATCTTAGTTCGTGGTTGGTATAACCCTTTTTAGTTTATTACTTATATCTATAATTTCATTCAGTGTTTTACAATCATCAGTTTTTTGTCTCAATATATTAACTTCACACAAACTTCCATCAAAATYGCTTACTTTTGACATATCAGAACTAGGAGAAAATAATCTAAAAGCGTTWAGATATTATACAACGGTTGAACTGAAGTAAGACAGCACTTCAAGTTAGTTGACATTAAAGTAATTAATGTATCCAACACTTCAATAAATTCTTTTCTGTAAAATGACTCTAATGAGAAACTAACTTGGGAAGATGAGTTAAAATCAATTCTTCTAGGCTTCATTCGTTTTCTATGGTGCTTWTCAAAATCACTAATTGGGTCAATTTCCATTTTTATGGGAAACGCTTTAGCACTAGATATATGTATTTAGCTAATTAGTTAGTATCATTGCGAATTTCTGATAATGATTTTATTGCACATTTTATTAATACTATACCATCAATTATATTAAGATCAACTGCCTCCAACTGTTCAGTGAGTGTTTTTATTTGGTACATAATTACTTTCATAGTGTACATACAACTATAAAATCAAATTACTCAATCAAATTAATCAAATTTTTTTTCAAGACTCAAGGCCTGAGTTTTTGTGCTGTTATCAATGCATTTATCAATGGATATGTCTGTCAAAACTTGTAATATACCTTCAAATGAAGTCCAAACTGCTTTGATGGACTCTGCTCGAGCAGTCCATCTATTTTTAGATAAGATACGGAGTTTAAGTGATCCTTCGATGTTAACCAACATATTTTCTAAGTATTTACTCCTTTTAGTACTAGATGAAAAAAAACATATAAAGCTTCAAGAATATTAAATAATTCAKMAACAATTAAACTGGAATCACAAGCGTGTTGCATAAATGTATTAAGGCGGTGAGCTTGACAAGGTAYGTATGGTATGTAATGACGCATGATTTGTGAAAGCATTGCTTGAGTTCCCCGTACATTACCAGACATGTTCGAAGCAAAATCATAAGATTGGAATGCTATATTCCCAGGATCCAAACAGTTTTTTATTGACACTTCGTGTATTTTCTGAGCCATACCTAAAAAAAGATAAACAATATGAAATATTAAATTGAATAGGTTTGGTGCATTTTTGTTGATAATTAGTAATATTTAATAGTTAATAATTAAAAAAAAAACCTTTTCCAGTTTTGTCATCTGTTTCAGTTATTTCAATTAAACGTTCCCAGACTTTTGCATTCGAATCCAAATATCGAACACATACAGCCATTTGATCACGATTCGATAAATCAGGTGTTGTGTCCGCCATAACTGAATAAATTCCAACTTCAATTACTTCATGAACAATATTTCTTTTAGTTTCTGTAGCAAGTAGCTGAATGAATTCATCTTGTGATTCATGGCTCATATATGTTACATAGTAGGGTCGAAATTTCTCCTCTTCTAACCATAATTTCATGGCAGGACCGTAACGAGAAATWAGTAAAATTATTTGATAAAAGTTTCCATTCTTTTCATCCCCATCACCTCTGAAAGGTAATCCTTGTCGAGCCAGGTTACGTGTACGTGTTACATCAAATAATATTTTTATAATATCTTTATGGAATTCTTTTTGTTTACGTGATTGTATGGCGCATTTTCTTTTTTCAGTATTTAATAATTTATCAATATGATTAGAATTCATAGAAAAATTACTTAAATCGACTAATGATGATTTGTGAGCAAGGGATGAAAAATGACATTCTAATTTCCCAGATTTATTTTATCCTCTTGATTTCATTTTTTCCCAGTTTCTAACTCCATATTGACTCCAAGATAGATTTTCACTTGTTCTATGTGGTCCTTTAGAGAATAAAGAACACACAAAACAAAATGCTGCATCACTAGAAATGCTGTACTCTAAATGTGGATACTCTTTATACCAACTAGGATTGAATTGTCTTTGTTTTCCATTTTTAATATATYACTATTACATGGATATTTARGAAGATGAGGTTGAAAAGACCCAAACTAATTATATAATTTCTTTGAGACGCAGATTTAACTAATCCTCGTTTACCAGGGTCGTGATCTAATAGTTTATCTATTATATGKTCTTCAGTAGAAGTAGAATTTACTTTTGAAACAGTCAGTTCTTTTGACAATATATTTTTAGAATAATCTATACATAACTCACATTGTTTTTTAAAATCAGATWTTAGTTCAATAATTGAAGTTAAAAAGAAAATAGGATTTGGTACATCATTACCAGTAACTTTTTCAAATAGACTATTGCACTCTTTTACAACATGTGTTAGGTACGAAAGTTAACTAGCGCAATCGATCCAAGATCCACAATCCTTATCTTCACTTAAAACATCAACAATCACCTGTAAATTATAAAATACAAGTAATATATTGTAAAGTTGTAACTGAGAAGTGAGAATTTTAATTAAGCAGCCATTAATTGTAATAATACTATAATAATTGAAGGGTTAGGTATAATAATTAATATTATGTAAGGTGTTAAGTTATAACAGGAGTATTTATCAAATATAGTAATGGGTAAATAGGTAATGGAAATTTGTTAAATAATCTTGTTATAAATGTACTTGGCACACTAATTAAATTAACTATATTGTTTGGAAGTTTTTTTTCTTACAATTAATATTGTATACTATGAAAATCAAAAACTTACATTAGCTTTATTTGATTTTTCTGCAACTGTATCGTATGTGTCTACAATGTTTATTTCTGGATCAATAACTTTTTTATAACTGTCAGTACTTGTAGCTAAATATATTTTCAAAGACATATTATGAAATATTATGAAGTTTTTTTTCTTACAATTAATATTGTATACTATGAAAATCAAAAACTTACATTAGCTTTATCTGATTTTYCTGCAACTGTATCGTCTGTGTCAACAATGTTTACCTCTGGCTGAATAGCTTTTTTATTACCTTTAGTACTTGTAGTTAAATTTATTTCCTATTATAATTTATGAGAAACTTAACAACACATTTTATACTTCAATTGGATATCTTATACATAATATGAAAAAGGTCTACATTTGCCGTAGGCAAATGTACTTGCCCGTATAAATAGTATAATCAAAATATTTAAAAATATCTAGTATTCTAGCTACTTACATTATTAGAATTATTACTACAAGATACAAATGGGTTCAACGGCGACCCTTGGTATTGAATTTTAACTCTTTTTCCRCCATGCTTAATACGTTCGTGTTGAAGCCTGTAGTCGTTGTTGAAAATGCGTGACGACCCACTACACAATTGACGATCATGTGGTTCACGTGGAGTACGTGTGACTTGACCGCCCTGAATTGGGGAATAATAATTAGTACTTTATACAATATAATTGTGATACTTACAGAACCGCTGAATACCAGTATTGAATTATACAAAGATGAACGGTAGAAAAACTAACAATGACAAAATAAGTATAAAGATGGAAAATAGAAAGTCGTAACACGAATGAAATATATGCAACACCACTGGCTGGGAATTATGACCATGCAGTTCGAACGGCGAAAAAATACAAAAAAACGAWCGAAAATAAATTTGAGGTTTTGGCCAAGCTTTGACATGAAAAAATATAACGACCAATGAACGAAACGTATACTAATGCAGTACCACCTTTGACTCAAATAAAAGCTAAAGACACCGACTTTCGGTGGCACTGGGAGCATTACATAATATAATATAAAAAACAAACATTGAATAAAAATAAGTTATTGAGAGCACATACGACAAAATACAAAAATATAAAGCCGTTACAGCTACGCACTCCCCTCACTATCAGCTTGATAAGAGCATATCGCTAGTATCACAGCTGWCAGGAAGACAACGTGCGCGGCTGTGGCACAATAATTTTTTGCGCTGCTCAATGGCGCGAACATATACCCYTCTTTGAAAGGATAAAGCCTTTCAAAAGACCAACAAAAACATAAAATATTATAAATAGATAATATACATAAAACATTGCACCAACTTGACAATAGCCTTCAAATTAAGAATATGAATAGCACCTAAAAATATCTATGATATAAAAATGAATCGCAAAATGTGTTGGTAAGCGCATAAC